AATGAGTGTGTATATGTCCATGAATGACTGAAAAATTGTGCTGAACACTGGAATTTGACACAACATTGTAAAATGATTATAAATCAATAAAAAATGTTAAAAAAATTTGAAAAGTATGTCAGCTTCCAGAGTTGCTACAGTATGTTATATGAAATATCTAGTTTTGAAGGAAAAATTGTAAGACATGTAAAGAGACAGAAAAAAATGTGAACTATAGTGAGAAAGAAAGCAGTTAATAGAAACTGAGTAGACACAGATATTAGAAAATAAAAACTTCAAGCTGCTATCATAAACATATTAAAAGAATGGAAGGAAACATTATTCAAATTATAGGAGAATATGGTAACATTGACCCAACAAATGGGAAATCTCAATATAAAAAAAATGGAAACTATAAAAAAGAATTTTTTGATGCTTTTACAAATAGAAGTACTTTCTTATTTCATTATTCATTGCTGGTCTATAGAAATATTTGCTTACTAGCTCTGAATTTTTGTGTATAAATTCTTTCGGACTTTGTGTATATAAGATTGTAGTATCTGTGACTACAGAATATTTTAATTCCTCCTTTCCAACCTTTTTATTTCTTTTCCTTGCATAACTACCAGAATCTGCCAGGCCAGAATCTCCAGTACAATGTTGCATAGAAGTGGAGACAGCAGAAATCTTTGTCTTGTTCCTCATTTCAAGGGAGAGCATTCAGTCTTTCACCATCAAGTATAATGATAATTGGGATTTTTATACGTGCCATCTATCATGTTAAGATAGTTTCCTTTTATTCCCAGTTTTCTGAGTATTTTTATCAAGAAATGGTACTGGATTTTGTCAAATGCTTTACCTGCATTAATTGAGATGATTTGGTTTTTTAAATCTTTAGTTTATTAATATGGTGTGTTAAATGGAGTAATTTTTGCATGATGAACCATCTTTGCATTCCTGGGATAAATTTCACTTGGCCATGGTGTATGATCCTTTTAATATGCTGCTGGTTTCAGTTTGCTTGAACAACATGGGTTTGAACTCTGCTGGTCTTAAATACAGATGTTTTTCCAACAGTAAATACTGTAATATTACACAATCCTTGGTTGGTTCAATCCATGGGTGTAGAACAATGGATATGGAGGAACTGCATATAGGGAGGGTTGACTATAAGTTATACTGGAGCTTTTGACTGCACAGGGGTCAGTGTCCCTAACCCCTGCATTGTTCAAGGGTCAAAGGTATTTTGTTAGGATTTTGGCCTCTAAATTCATAAAGGACATTGGTCTATAGTTTTCTTGTGATGTCTTTGGCTTTGCTTTCAGAGTAATGCTAACCACATAGAATGAGTTAGCAAGAGTTCCCTCAAGCTCCAGTGTTGAGAAGAATTTAAGAAGGATTTGTGTTTGTTTTGTAAACATCACTGCTGAGGCCATCTGACCCTTGGCCTTTCTTTGTTGGAAGTCTTTAGATTACTTACTCAATATTTTTACTTGTTACAGGTCTATTCAAATTTTCTATTTCTTCTAGAGTCAATTTTTTGTAGTTTGTTTCTAGAAGTGTTTTTTGCTGGGTTATCTAATTTGTTGGTATACAATTGTTCATAGTACTTTCTTACCATTCTTTCTATTTTTGTAAAATTGGTGATAATTTTTTTTTAATTCATGATTTTAGTAATTTAAGTGTTTGCTTTTTTTCTCTCTTAGCTGTGTTCTTGACTCCTTACACATCATACTTCCTCTTTAGGACAGTCCCTAACAATGACTCTTGTAATAATGGCCACTTGTACTTAAGATGATTTTGTCTTTGAAAAAATTAATTTTTTTCTTACTGATAAAAAACTTTGTGTGCCTTTAAAATGTTTAACATGTTTTATGTGGTTCCTTTTTTATTCACAGATATTTTCCAATTTATCCCTGGATGAGCGTTGCCTTTCTGCATCATTGGTTTGCAAGTACTGGCGTGACCTTTGTTTAGATTTCCAGTTTTGGAAGCAGCTGGATCTTAGTAGTCGTCAGCAGGTATGGAATCTAATTCTGAAGAAACAATCGATTTAACCTACTCAAAAAATACCTTTTTCCTTTTTAGAAATCACTTCTTTCATGTTATAGTTTTGCAAAATGGTTCAAATGACTGTATAAGTCTGTGCTTTAGTATTTTTTTTTCTTTTCAAATTCCAGTTGAAGCTAGGTTCTTATGGTAAAGGAGATATTTTTTCAGTTTGGATTGGTAATTTTGGGTTGTTTCTTAATCCTCTTTGTCTTAGTGCTTTTTGCCCCCTCCCTTTTTATTACCTTTTAAAAAAGTTTTTAAACTTTTTCTTTTTGCGGGGGTCATTTTGTGAATATTTATTTCATAGTAGAAAATGATGGCAAATATTTATATAGTGCTGCTGGTGTGCCATGTACATAATGTTCTGTAAGCTTTATATATACAACAGTTTTATGAGTTGATAACTATCATTATCCCTATTAATATATCATATTATTATACTTTTAATAATAGTATTCTTGTTTTTTTGATGAAGAAATGGAAGCAGAATGTAATAAGATAACATTTTGTTCTACTTTTCATTTTGATGAATTTTTCAATGTGCCCCACTGCCCAATATGTTTATATGGGCATATTATTAGGAAAGAAGATAGTTGTATCTTAGGAAAGAAGATATATTAGGTGTATATTAGGATGTATATTATATACATTATATTAGGAAAGAAGATAGTTAATAGAGCTTATTACAAGCAGTTTTTTGGACTTGTTAAATTGTTCCTTTGTGGAGGGGTGGGAAGGGACAGACTGTGAGTTCAAAATTTATGGATACTGACAGGCATATGCAGAATAGATAGACAATATTATACTGTATAGCACAGGGAAGTATATACAAGACCTTGTGGTAGCTCACTGCGGAAAAAAATGTGACAATGAATATATGTATGTTCAGGTATAACTGAAAAATTGTGTACACTGGAATCTGACACAACATTGTAAAATGACTATAACTCAATAAAAAATGTTAAAAAAATTGTTCCTTTAAACTTGGTTGACAGTAATTGGCATTGGAAATATATAAAAATATTCAATAAGAATAGAATTTTATTACAGTCATAAACCCACTCTAAATCCTTCCATGATATTGTAAATAATGATGTGCTGATAAATATTTAACAGTTGGCTTTCAAAAACAAATGAACAAAGAAAAAGCCCTGAACTGTAATATTTTCCAGTTTCTGTGGTGTAAGTACTCTCACCATGACCAATTTCAAGCTACTAATGTGATGTCACTGAATATAGTGATATTACTGATGTGGAAAGTGGTATACAATACACTGTAGACTCTTGTACCTTGATATAAGCCAACTCCAACATACCACTGGTGGTGTATTATGTGTGTTTATAATAATACACTTTAAGCAAAATAAGCATTTATGTATAAATTCTCTCTCTCTCTCTTTTTCTTTTTTTTTGCCTCATTGGTTAAAAAGTCATAGAATTAGTCATTTACCTGCCTGAGTTTGTGAAATTTGTATTTGGGGGAATGGTGAATATTTAGTTAGTTGTGGCTGGTGGAGTGGAGAAAGGTAATGGGAAGTAATCCACTGGCTCTTTACTTCATTACCCTTGGATGTCTGAGCTATTTGTTACAAACTCAGACTAAGAATAGCTTTTCCCCTCTGCTGATAGTTCTGGAGATGAAAAAAGGAAAAAAAGAAAAAAAAAAGAGAGAGGTGTGCTGTTTTCAGCAAGCATAAAACCTTGGTTTTTACTCCTAGTACCCCTCAACACTCCAGTTCTTTCTTTCTTCCTTTCTAAATTTCATCATGTGCATTTTCTCTCACTGTTGTTTTTACACAAAAGACTTGAATAATGTTAACTCTGTTTTCTTTCTTTTTTTTGAAAGCATGATTGGGCAGGGAATGTATAGAAGTTGGTTTTTTTTTTTTTTTTAGAAGTTGGTTTTTAAAAAATTGTTTAAAAATTGAGATGGCCATGTGAGTTTTTCACCAGATGAATTTTAAGGTTACTTAAATTTAGCGTTGAGTCTTCTGAGAAAAGCCTTTTGATGTGGACTTTTGTAGGTAGTCTTTGGTATGCTGATACCCCAAATGATGTATTTTCCAAGCTATGGGTATAGTTGTATGTGATTTATTCTCATAGAAGTAGTAAAGCAATTGAAATTTATATACTTTGGTAGATATCATCTAATATTAACTGTGAAAAGTCAAAATTCATGCATCATGTTGACTGATACACATTATTTGTTGGGTTAAAAACAGAACAGACTCAAAAATCTCAATACAGTTTTGTTTGTGGGGAGTTTTTGGTGAGTTTGAAGGTTGAATTAAAGTAATGAAAACTAACATGTATATTATTATCTCTTGGTATTTTCTAACAACAAATGTGTGTTTCTCTATTCTAACAACAAATTCTCTGACACCAGCTGGGTGTCCAGTAATTCAGTTTAATTCTGGCACTAACTCCTAGCGGTAGTGCAGACCTCATAGGGTAAGGGCTCAGTCCCGTAAGACGTCCCCACTTCGTATGTTAGTCACAAGTCCCAGGAGACACCTGTACTTCTGACTGACCAGCTATAAGTTTGGGAGTTCCCTCAACCCCCTCCTCAGGTTTGATAATTTGCTAGAATAATCAAAACTCAGGAAAATACTTATGTTCATTATAAAGGATATAACTCAGTACCAGCCAAATGGAAAAGATGTGTAGGGCAGGTTATGGGGGGATAGACTATGGAGTTCCATAGCCTCTCCAGGCACAGCACCCTCCCAGCACTTTTTGTATTCACCAATCCAGATGCCCTTTGAATCAAGAGTTTTTATAACCCAATCTTCAGCTCTGCTCCCCTCCTTGGAAATCAGATGTGGAGCTGAAAGTTTCCACTCTCTGTTCACTTGGTGTTAGTTCTTTCTGGTGACCAGCCCCCATGTTAAAGCTATCTGGGGGCCCCAACTTAAGTCATTTAATTAACTCAGGTGTTGTTAAAAGGGGCTTGTTAAGAATAACAAAAGACATTCCTATTTCTCAGGAAATTCCAAGGGTTTTTAGGAGCTTTGTTCCAGGAACTGGAGACAAAGACCAAACACATTTTTTATTATATCACAGTTCTTCTTATGCTTTAATATTAAGTAAGAAGTTTTTTTGATTGTGGTTTTCATGCTTTAATATAATTATTATCGGGGACAGTTTAATAAAAGAATAGAAAGTTAAGTTTCTTCTTTTAGCAGTGTTAAATTTATTGCTTTTTTCCCCCTCTCTTAGGTCACTGATGAATTATTGGAAAAAATTGCATCAAGAAGTCAAAATATAATTGAAATCAACATTTCTGACTGTCGCAGTATGTCTGATACTGGCGTATGTGTTCTAGCATTTAAATGTCCTGGACTTCTTAGGTACACAGCCTACAGGTGTAAACAGCTTTCTGACACCTCTATTATTGCGGTTGCCTCTCACTGTCCTTTACTTCAGAAAGTTCATGTAGGCAACCAGGACAAACTTACTGATGAAGGACTCAAACAGGTAAATTTTAGCATCTATTAAATGGTTTTACTTGTATTAACATGTTTTCTTGCAGCAACACTTTGAAACATTGTTATGTTAAAAGTAATGTTCAGAGATTGAAATAAGTCATCCTTTTTTATGTATCCATGAATATTTGGGTTAGTGAACTGGATTGCCATGGCTGTAATTGATAAATTAACCTTTTTTGTGTCTTGTAGTAAGTGCCTGAACTTCTTTGACTAGCCATTTTATTAATTTAGTCTTTTGTTGCTTAAATTTTGTACGAAATTTTGCTTTAGGCAACAATAGTCTGAAATTTAGGTTAGCATGAGGTTTTAAAAATTAACTTTTAATTCTCCTTTTATGTTACTAGATGGCATGCTCACATGTTTTAAAATAACTTTTTTAAGGACATACATAGAAGTCCAAGTTAAGGAGTATAAAATGGAGAAAGAGGTGGTAATTACTTATATTTGGCACAATAATTGGATTAAATATGGTATCGTATGTGTTTTCTGTTTGATTCACTTCCTTTTTTTGGGGGGGCGGTAATTAGGTTTATTTATTTATTCATAGAGGTTGCTGGAGATTGAACCCAGGACCTTCTGTATGCTAGGTATGCACTCTACCACTAGAGCTATACCCTCCTTCCTGATTCACTTTCTTTGGAAATGGTATTTAAGGTTTTTTGTCTCAGAGTGGACAGTGAATGGATTCTCTGTACCAGTCCAGAGTTTGTGGATATTTTGAATATTTAGTAATGTTCTCACTATTGTACTAGACACATTTTGGTATTTTTATATTTAACTTTTGAAATAATTTTATGAAATAGTTGATACTAAACTCATTTTGTAAAGGAAGAGATTAAGGCTTAGAGAGATTAACAAATTTGCCTAATGTTTAGCATATATGGACCTTGGATTTGAAGCCTAGATTCTCTAAAGCCTGTACTGTCTTTCCACTTTGCCATGCCAATAGACTACTCTTCTAGACCTCGAATAAAGAAGCCTGCTCCATGAGGGCAGAGGCTAGGAACATTTACCACTCTACTCACAGTTCCCTTGGCAAACATTGTTGAAGGAAAGAATTAATTCACAATTCCATTCAAGAACTTTGTCAGAACTGTTTTTTAAATTTAGGTTTGAGATGTAGTCCTAATACTTCCCAGTAAAAGCAGAATATCAATAAAGTCTTAGATTCACATCTGATCTCAGATGAAGTCAGAAATAAAATGAAGATCCCTAAGCTTAAACATTACATATGAATTAACTGAAAGCTCAGTATTAGAAGGAATTTGGAAAGACTGTCCTAAATAGTACTGGATAAGTCAATCCAATTTATGTATTAAGAATGCTACAGTTTATAAGTGTGCCTATTTAATCCGCAAAGGCTAATTGTGCAGTAATAGTCTTAGTTGTTTTAACGTATGTTGTGATCTAGTTCTGCTGTGTACAGAATTACTCACTAGCAAAGCATTTTATGAAGTTCTTAAGTCTGTTAAGACAAATTAATCTTTACGGCAAATCATACATTTTATAGACATGGCATGATTTGTTTTTGTGATATAAATTTCCCAGCAAATTATACTTCATGATGAAGCATTTTAAAAAGTCTATGTATTTCTTAAGAAATGGATTAAATTTGTTATATATTTAAATCTGATATAACACAAATAAGTACAACTTGAGCACAGTACCAAGAGCATTCCTAGTAAGAATAAGGTCATATTTATGGTTGAAATCGAGGGAAACTAGGAAATTCTTTAAGGAGCAAGACTTAATATGCCAGTTAAGTTTTATGAATTTATCTAATATTTACAACTTTGAGACTAATTATGTGAATCTTCCCTAGAATGTGAGGTATTTTTAGAGCCCATTAATTTATGATAGAGTAGATGTTTGCTTCAGATGTTCATGGTTTCTAAATTATGAGTTAGTTATATATAAAGTTATAATCTGATAGAAGTGGTAAAATAATCTAAATCTTTTTTTCATCCTTAAGT